CGAAGACCTTTGAAGGATAACATATCGAAAAATAGCGAAATACTTACGTTAACGTTAACTTTCGAAGGTTTTCACTAAAAAAAATTTCCTGATGAATATTTCTTCCTGTTCTTTCACTCCTCTCCTTTCTCACTTTTCCCTTTCCCTAACGATAATTTCAACGATTTCGGCATCGGCAATTTCGGAATTGGCATTTTTCACCTCATCCCTCTCTTCCACCTCGTCCCTCTCGCCCCTCTCGTTCCTCTCATCCCTCTCGTCTCTCTCGTCCCTCTCATCCCTTTCGTTCCTCTCGTCCTTCTTATCCTTTAGCTTCCCTCCTTTAACACTTTTTTTTTCCCCATCACTTTTCTTTTTCTATATACTTCATAATTTTTTTCTCCTACCCTTCTTCCTCTTTTTTTTTGTAGTGACGTTTTTTTTTAACTATTTCGATGGCAGGAACCTTTCTTAAAGGTTTTATATATATGTATGGTTCGTTATCACTCATGGTTTGATAAAAGAAAAAATTTTTTTAAAATTATATATATTAATTTGATTATCATTGATAATCAAATTAATATAAACGATTATAAAAATTGCGATTTAATCGGTGATTTTCAACGATTATGAAAATCGCGATTAATCGTTCGCCAAAATTTGACTCGAATATATAGTTAACTCGCGATTAATCGCGAGTCCATAATCACGATTCCTATCCCTACCTATCGGATACCTAATAGGTATGTAATAGGTGCTCAATTTTCAATAAATTTTAATATATCGAGCTTCCAATAGATAGAGTGAGCGTGCCAAAGTTCAAGCACATATTGGCAGATATCAGACACATATCGAATTCTGATTTTTTGATATTTTTTTCAAATATATCGTACACTTATCAGGCACCTGATTTCATTTATTTTTTATTAGGTACATATCTTCAATATATTGATATAGTATATTAGGTATATATTGGTCACTGTATATTCCTCAATATTGAGAGCTTTTTTCCTACTATAGAATACCTATTGGTGACTTTTATTTATATATTTTCATTTTTCTTATTACTGATAATTATATTTTTTATTTATTATTATAAAATATAAAATAAAATATATTATTTATTAATAAAAAATATAAAATAAAAACATTATATATATTATATATTGTTAATTATATTATTTATACTATATAAAATGTTTTTAATATTCACATTTAAATTTATCTAATTATTTTTTTTATTTTTTTTAGATTTTTTCTTTTCCTCTTCTTTTTTTTTTTTTTTCTACTACTAGTTTCTGTTTTATCATTATCATTATTATCATCATCATTATAGTTGTCATTATCATTATCATTATTATTATCATCATCTTTATCTAAGGTACCAATATTATAAATTGGGATGGTCTTCTTATCCCACTTTATTATTTTCAATGCTTCTTTATTTAAAGTTTAAATAAGTGTACCTTTTGGAACTTTTATTTTATTTTTGTTCAGCATATGTTGTGGAGATCTAATTCAAAGCTTAAAATTTTTAACAGTTTATACAAAAGATCAATCATTGGATCGATTCTTTTATACAATAGCTTCTTTAACTATAAAATATTATTTGATATCATCTATTAATATTATATCCGATAAGTATAAAAATATATTATAATTATTAATCTTATCAAATCAGATCTTCACTATTTGTCCTTAATATAAATAGAAATTGTAGGTGTTTGAATACTTCTGCTTCTACTTGCTGTAGTAGTAGCTGTGGTACTACTTCTACTTCTAATATTACTACTACTGTTATCATTATCATTATTATTATTATTATGATTATTATTATTATTATTATTATCATCATCATTATTATTACAATTATCATCATCATTACCATCATCATAATCATTATTACAATTGTCATTATCATAATTATTATTACGATCATTATCAACATCTATGATGTCTTGTTTTATAAATTTAATAAATTAATTTAATTATAAACAAAGTATAATAAATATAATTTGTAAATATAGTACCTTCATATTCATATTCATCATCTGTCATCTCCTACTCCTTCAAGTGGTAACCACTATCACCTAATATTTTTAATATATCCTTTTTAAGATACATATTTAATTTTTTGTCACTTCTTTTTAATAGGTATACTGTTACTTTCTTTTTCCTTTCCTTCTTCTATTTAAAATAAATTACATCAATAATATACCTGATAATTGTATTATTATATTTATTATAAAAAAAATCTTACTTTTGCCATTTCAGTATTCTTCTTTATTCTTTTTTTATTTATTTTTTTATTTCCAGTTACTTTCACCCTCCATTGTTGATGCATCGTATGATGTCACATATAGAGTATTTTTTTAATCTCATAATTAGATATAGTATATTTGCTATTTAATATTTTACTTAATTTGGGCAAGAGTTTTTCAATTAAATAATCATGTTCTTTCCATTTACATTCTGATTTAAACGGATATTTATTTTGATATCTAGATTTATATAGTAAAAATAATTCTTTTTATAATTATACAAATTGATATTAATTATTCTATCCAATATATGTATAATATAAATATTTGATACCTGATATATATATAATATAAAAAATTAAAAAAAAATAAATAAATTTATTCTAATTCTCTTTTTAGATTCAAAATCTAGATATTTTATCATTTTCACTTTTTTTTTTCTTTTATCGAATGACAAAAAAAATTCATTATTATTATCATTAGAAGAGGAAAATGATGATAATGATGAGGTAGCAGTAAAGGAAGAGAAAGAAGAAAAAAAGGAGGAAGAAGAAGAGAAGGAGGAAGAAAAGGAGAAGGAGGAGGAGGAGGAGAAAGAGGAAGATTTTTTTTTGTTTTTGTATTTATTTTTATTATTTTTTTTATTTTTCTTATTTTTACTAAACATTTTAGTAAAAATTCTTTTCATTTGTTCGTATTTTATTAATATTGTATATATTAGTCATAATTATAATTATTATATCATAAACAAATAATTAATTAATTAATTATTAATTTACCTTTTTTCAATATTCTATTTTAAGTTTTTTTTTTTTAATACCTTAATCAGGTGAAAAATATTTTTTAATTTAAATTTTGTCATTTTGTAAAAAAAATTATTTTATATTTTATTTTTACTAACTATCTAACTATTCTAATTTATTTAAATAAAATAATTTTTCTTAA